GGCAGTGTACAAATATCAGCTCCAGAAAAAGTTACTGCTGTAGATGTTAGAACCAGCATCTGAAAATAAAAGTTCTCATGAGATGCTCTCTTGAGTTCATGTGCAACCAAATCTAGAAATAGTTTTCTTTCCCTTCCATTTTTCAAAGCTTGCCTGGCACTTTTTATCAAGCTACAAGAACTATCTGTTATACCTGCCACAACAGGTAAGTTCTAATTTATTTTGAAATGCATCATTTCATTTGTTATTTCCGTAAAAGAATAGTAAATGTAAATGAGAACTCAGTTGAATAGATCTATCAGATAAGAGATTTTTCAGATATAAGATTACTCTTTGAATTTAATGGCCAATACATAACTTTATAATTCACGTGGCAGTTTCAGATGAATTGATAAACCAAGGAATAATTCCGTTTCTTACTATGTGAGCAAATAATTTTTCATCAATGTAATGTTTAACTTTTTTAATAGAGAATAAGAGTATTGAACTATAATCTTAATGAATATCTGGAAGATGAAAGCATGATACAAACAGTCCAATCCTATTTAATAAAATAAATGAATGTTTCATAAGAAATTCATCAAAATCAGCAGAGGATATGGAATTTCTTCACAGCAGAGCAATATTGACAAATTATAAAGCCCCATTCCAAGTAAGAATCATAATTTTGTATTTATTATCTGAAATAGACACTAAAAAAGTTTTTTAAAAAAAGCAATGGGTTCAAACTCCTGGGATACTGTATATGATCATCTTACAAGTTACCCCATTTCCATCTGTCTGCCATACTGCAAATAAAGGAGAAAAGGTCATTGGAATGCATTAGGCTTCTAAGAAAGGAAAGCGTTTCACCAAAGCAAGTAATAGGGCAAAATGAGGGTTTTTGCACTCCTAGTAAGAATTCTCCCTCATCTTAAAATTCTCTTTCATCCCCCAATTTTCTAGCACTGCAATTATGAAACTCTAGTTCAATATTTCGAAATACAGTGTAGGCATCTATGGAAAAGGGGTGGGCATTTTCCAAATGAATGTGAACAGCTGATCTAAGAATGATTTTCAGTGTCTCATTCTGTGCAATGCTGGAAATTTGATAACTGAACTAAAATGCATATTTGGGGCAATGCTTTCATTACTTAAAAATGTTCTTTAGAATCATAGAATCAAAGAGTTGGAAGAGACCTCATGGGCCATCCAGTCCAACCCCCTGCCAAGAAGCAGGAATATTGCATTCAAAGCACCCCTGACAGATGCCCATCCAGCCTCTGTTTAAAAGCTTCCAAAGAAGGAGCCTCCACCACACTCCGGGGCAGAGAGTTCCACTGCTGAACGGCTCTCACAGTCAGGAGGTTCTTCCTCATGTTCAGATGGAATCTCCTTTTGTAGTTTGAAGCCATTGTTCCACATCCTAGTCTCTAGGGAAGCAGAAAACAAGCTTGCTCCCTCCTCCCTGTGGCTTCCTCTCACATATTTATACATGGCTATCATATCTCCTCTCAGCCTTCTCTTAGAATCATAGAATCATAGAATCAAAGAGTTGGAAGAGACCTCATGGGCCATCCAGTCCAACCCCCTGCCAAGAAGCAGGAATATTGCATTCAAATCACCCCTTACAGATGGCCATCCAGCCTCTGTTTAAAAGCTTCCAAAGAAGGAGCCTCCACCACACTCTTCAGGCTAAACATGCCCAGCTCCTTAAGCCACTCCTCATAGGGCTTTTTCTCCAGACCCTTGATCATTTTAGTCGCCCTCCTCTGGACACATTCCAGCTTGTCAATATCTCTCTTGAATTGTGGTGCCCAGAATTGGACACAATATTCCAGGTGTGGTCTAACCAAAGCAGAATAGAGGGGTAGCATTACTTCCCTAGATCTAGACACTATGCTTCTATTGATGCAGGTCAAAATCCCATTGGCTTTTTTTGCCACCACATCACACTGTTGGCTCATGTTTAACTTGTTGTCCACAAGGACTCCAAGAACAGTACTTCACACGTACTGTTCTTGAGCCAGGCGTCCTCCATTCTGTATCTTTGCATTTTGTTTTTTCTGCCTAAGTGGAGTATCTTGCATTTGTGGAGTACCTCGATCCAACAATTTTCTAATCCTAATGCCATCACTGTTTCCCATTCTTCAAGTCTTAAAAAATAAGAAATGTTAAGCACAATACTTAGAATCTTAATGTGTTGGGAATGCATGCATACATTCTTACACACAGAGAGAGAATAGAATTTCCTCTACTGTCCTTCAGTCTAAGCTGTGAGTATAAGTCATTAATATTCACTGAAGGATGATCAATCTCCAAAGTCACCCCAACACTTCTTTGGACCAGAGCAGTTTTCTAACCTTCCCCAGAATCATTCTGCAGTGACAGATAGTTGCTTGCTTGAATATTAAATAATTCATGTCACTTAGAGAATTTGCAACCTTTTCTGCAACAACATATTTCTTGAAACGACTCCAATGCCATTTGCTAAAGCACTGTAACTGGAAATTCCTATCATGAAAGGCAAAGCAAGAAAGGAGAGAGAAATGTTTATTGAGAAGCTAGCCTGAGAATCAGCATCTTAAGGAAGACAGACTTGGAAAGCCCAACTTAGCTTCACATTCTGCACTGAACACCAGGCAGTTTTCTCTAGGAAGAGCTACAGAAGGAAAAAGCTTAACCAGTTCCAGTCAATTTTGTGGCAATGAAAACCTTCCAACTGCAAAATATGAGCATTATTAGAAAGATGGAACAGCCATTCCCTATCCTTTCATTGCTAGGATATGTTCCAAAGCACAAGCTAAAAGAGGAAGCACCCTGTTAAATCTTATCAGCTAGACGTGTTTGGAAGAAGTTCTGCCAAATTCAGGAAAGCTTCCATTTTGTGAGGAGTTGATATGGAAAGCAAACTAACAAACAACATCTAAGATGCTACCTGATGGTGATCCAGTGGCCATGTTTTCCTAGGGTTCCCTGCTGAGGCAGCTGGCCTGAAGAACTGTTGGAGAAGACAGCAGAGTCATGATATGTGGTTTCTTTTGGATATGGAAAGCAAACTAACAAACAACATCTAAGATGCTACCTGATGGTGATCCAGTGGCCGTGTTTTCCTAGGGTTCCCTGCTGAGGCAGCTGGCCTGAAGAACTGTTGGAGAAGACAGCAGAGTCATGATATGTGGTTTCTTTTGGATATTCTGAAAATAGCCACATAGTGGCCAGGTAAGCTGGCAAATATAGATCTTCATGTGCTACAACTTGGGAAGGAGGGATGCTCATTTTCTTCCAGAGTGTGGAAAGTTATTATTAAGAAAAATGAATATAATATGCTCAAACTCAGCTTGATGGTCATCTGTTGGGGTTATTTGATTTGTGCTTTTACTGCATGGCAGAAACAGGTTGGACTGGGTGGCCCATGGACTGCCCCTATTATTATGGTTATGGTTATTATTATTAATTTCAAAGATTGGATGGCCATCCATTGGAGTGCTTTGAATGTGCTTTCCCTGCATGGCAGAAGGGAGTTGGATTGGATGGCCCCTGGGATCTTTCACTGAAATACTGTTAAGTTTATATTGGTTAAAATTGTTCTTCATTTAAAATATTGCATTGTTCTTTCTGTCTGTCTGTCTGTCTGTCTGTCTTTCTTTCTTTCTTTCTTTCTTACAGTACAAATGAGATATGATCGGTGTGCATAGGAATATGTTCATTTATTTTTCAATTAGTTCACAGAAACATTCTCCATCCATCTACCACTCATCCGGCCCATCTGCCAAATTTTAAAATGCAATGGAGTCCCTGTGCCCAAAAGTTTCTTGTGGTTTCACAAGAAACTTTTCCTTCAAAAAGGGCTCTGCGGCTTTAAAAGTCTGAGAAATCCTGACCTAACATAAATATCATGGGAGGGATTGTACAGAATGGCAACCAGTACTTAAAGTGGTAAAGAATATTCAACGAAAACAGTCAGCCCTCCACATTCCCTGGACCCTTGCAAAAGTTAGAGAAAAACACACAAAAAAATACCCAAGAGTACATCTCTCTAAAAAATATCTAGGTCCTCCAATGCAACTCTAGAGTCAATTTGTGCCAGAGTTTGATTATAAAATCATATTGGAGGACCTACAAATGCCTAGAAAAGTGTTCTGTCTGGGAATCTCTAGGTCTTCCAGTGCAATTCTGTGATGGATGCTGACCGTAAAGCCAAAGTGAAGGACCCAGAGATTTCTAGAAAGAACATATGTATAATTAAATCTGCAAGAGTGAAACTCAGAACAGTGGGGGCCTGATTGTACTTTGAATAGTAGCTTTCTGTTTAAGGCAAGGGTCCTCAAACTAAGGCCCGGGGGCCGGATGCGGCCCTGGAAGGTCATTTACCTGGCCCTCGGTCAGGGTCAACCTAAGTCTGTAACGACTTGAAAGCACACAACAACAATAATCCTATCTCATCAGCCAAAAGCAGGCCCACACTTCCCATTGAAATACTAATAAGTGTATTTTTGTTAAAATTGTTCTTCATTTTAATTATTGTATTGTTTTTAAGTGGGTTTTGCACTACAAATAAGATATGTGCAGTGTGCATAGGAATGCATTCATGTTTTTTTCAAATTATAATCCGGCCCTCCAACAGTTTGAGGGACTGTGACCTGGCCCTCTGTTTAAAAAGTTTGAGGACCCCTGGTTTAAGGGAATGGTGAGAAGAAGAAAAAAGAGATTGGAAAAAACACTGGAAATTATTTTCAATAAATACTTCAGAGATGTTGGCTGAGCTGAACTCAAGGGTTTCTACATATGGCCTTTCATCCCACATTGCAATGTACTAATAAAGAAGGTAAATTTCAGTGAAGCTGATAACCTATCACTTAATATTGAAGGTTTTTCATAGCCAGAAAACAGCAAGTGCATGTGTGTATGTGTGTGTGTGTGTGTGAGAGAGAGAGATAAGAAGATAGAGGAATAAGGGTGGATATATCACTAATGTTTGTTGTGCTTTTATTAAGATCAAGGTTGGAGGAACGGTAAAGATGCTGAAGAAAATCCAGTTGTGTCTGTGTGCCATCTTCTTCTTTGCATTTGGAATATTTTACCAGCTGTACCAGGATCCTGGTTGTGTCTTCTCTTGCAAACCTATTTCAAAACATTTATTGACACCTAAAGATGTCATGTCCCGGGGCAGAAGCATCATATTTCTAGAGACAACTGAAAATTTGCAGCCTTCTCCATTAGTTTTATGTTCTGTAGAATCTGCTGCTAGAATATATTTAGATAGGCCCATCATTTTCTTAATGAAAGGATTGGACAATAATTCAATGACACATTTTGCATCTTCTTGCCCATCTCTCTCTTTTTTATATGCTATGAAGAATGTTTATATTTTCCCACTGAAGTTGAACATTTTGTTCCAGGACACACCTTTGCTCCCCTGGTACCTTCAGGTAAGAGCAAAAGAAGGTTGCTTTTCTCAAGATGAAAGAAAAAAGTATGAAAGCAACTGACCTTATTGTTCTCCAGAGTCTTTGCTGTATTCTGGTTCCTAATCATTGTTACTGGGGATACCTGGAATTGAAATTGAAGTATTTTGCCTGCAAAACACATGTTCTACCCTTAGGATTGGCATGTTCTTCTTAGTCAAATCCAAAGATTCCAATTTTCATTCTAGTTATGCAAATATGATATTAATTGTTATATTTTTCCTATGTGTTTCAAACTTCATTAGGAGTGGCATGAGAAAACCATTATTGACTAACATTTAAAGAGGAGGACATGGAACAGGGAGACCTGGGTTCAAATCTCTGCTTGGTCATAAAATTAACCATGTGACTATGAAAAACTGCTACTTCTCAGTAAACCTACTTCTGTGTGCCATAATAGGGAGGAGGAAATCATGGAAAATAGACATGTAGATTTCTCTGCTGGTAAAAGAACAACAAAAAATATTAACAAGCGGTAATACATAGGCACGTATAATGATATTCTCCATTTTTTAAACCTTTTGTCATCCACTTTCACTGAGGGCCAAAACATTAGAGATCCATAAAAATGCCACAAGTCCCGGAGAGTGACTGCCATCTGATTGACATGGCAAGATGCAGAGAAAAGTAAGGACAAATGGCAGATATTGAAGAGAAAAGGCCTGGCCTGATTTCCTTTAGAGATACAGAATAAATACTTTATTATAACTGGAAAACAGTGAACTTTAACCGTTTTAGGCTGTTTGATTTCACATGCAAAGGTATATACTAAACATTAGGCCTGGGTAACAACGGAAAAATTTGTTTCTAAAATCGATTCGTTTTTTGGGGTTTTTTGCGTTTCGATATTTAAAAGAATTCCGAATTTTTTTTAAAAAAAAGTTCGATATTTACGAAATTTCGTAAATGGTAAAAAAATTACAAAACAATAACGAAACAATAACAAATAACAAACTATAAAACTTGCCCCAGACATGCGGAAATAATAATGAAACGACCTCAAACCAATAACAAAACGAATACATAACGAAATACGAAGCATTTACGAAACGAATTGAAAAATTCGTTTCGTTTTTAAGCTGCCCCAGAATGGTTTGTTATCGCTTCGTTAACAAAAAAAATAACGAATTTTTAACGAATTACGAATTAACAAAACGAAACCGCCCAGCCCTACTAAACATAGTTTCTAGAGTCATAGTCTAACACGGAAAGTACTACACAATTCAAACTCTGTTACACACTTTTAATTTAATAGGTCATGTATAATACTCCCAAGACAAATAAATACAGAGCTAGTCTATCCTTCTATTTCCTCCCCCTCCCACACACACACACACACACACAAAGACCTTTTTTTTGGATTGATTTATTCACAGGTGTGCCCTATGCCAATGTGTCCATTAGCTATGATTGCAAATCAGCCAGAAGTTAGAACTTTTTTTCTCTTTGTCGGAATATCATTAAGTTTCATAGAAATTCCTTAGAAGAAAAAGTAGTGTCTGCCAAAGTTCAAATAAATTGATTCAAAAATGGTTGAGTGATATATCTTTAAAACAGGTTTTATTTATTTACTTTGTTTTATATCCCACTCTCCCTCCCTCGTAGAGGCACTCAGAGCAGTTAACAATTGTCAGTATTTTATTTATTTTTTACTGGCATAATTGGGTGAATTTTGTGGAATAATTGGTTCTTCTTGAGTGATAAAGCCTGCTAATTTTCAAAAGAATGTGATCAGGTAACTTCATTCAAAGTCAGGTTTACAGTTAGGAGTTTCTAAAAATTCACCCAAGGGCCAAACTTTTCCAGGTGTGTCTATATTAGATCTCCCAGATTTTTCCAGTAGGCAGTTCTATCCACATTTGAAGCCCTGGACCTTCCCTATGTGAAGTATGAACTGTTTCACAGATCTATGGAGTTTCTTAACAGCAACTGCTGAAATTCTTGCTGAAAAACAGGAAAAATTACCTTAGAACATGACTGTGTGTCTATTTTTGAACCTTGCAGGTCAATGCAATACAGGAAAAATACTGGGTCTATGTTCTAGCTGATGCAATCAGGCTTGCAATGGTATGGAAATATGGTGGAATATATATGGACACAGATGTAATTTCCATGAGACCCATCCCAGAGACCAACTTCCTGGCAGCCCAGTCTTCCCAGTGCTCCAGCAATGGGATCTTGGGTTTTCAACAGTATCATCCGTTCCTTTGGGACTGCATGGAAGATTTTGTTGAAAACTACAATGGAGACATTTGGGGAAATCAGGGACCTGATTTAATAACAAGAATGCTCAAGAAGTTATGCAATCTCACCAATTTTGTAAACACAGAAGATCAGAGATGTCACAACATTTCCTTTTTGAACCCCCAACGTTTCTATCCCATCCCCTATGGACTTTGGACAAAGTACTATGAAGTGTGGGATTCAAGACCAGAGTTTAATTACTCTTATGCTTTGCACTTGTGGAACTATATGAACCAATATCAGAAGGAAAAGGTCACTGTTGGAAGTAATACACTGGTGGAAAACCTGTTCAGAACATATTGCCCTACCACTTACAAGAGTCTCGTTCAAGCTGCAAAACAAAGTGAGCATTTGTTTCAAAATGAGACTAGGTGATGAATTCTGACAAAACTGACATGTGTGACTTTACAAATTACAATACTTATGTTAATTAGACTCCCAAATGAAACACCTTTTAGAACCAGACAATTTTTAATCCAACAGGGGTATAGAACATGAATGGATTTACTGTGAGCAAGGAATACACAACGTGTTCTTAGGTGTCTTGGGTATTTGTTACGCATACACATTCACAATCACACACCACAAAACATGCTGTTTTCCTTCATATTACGTATAATGATGATATCTTTATTACTGGGTTAGTCTTGTAACAAAGGAGGCAACCCTCTTGCACTTAGAGGTAGTTTTGTTTGAGAAAAAGAACACATGTTTCCTTTCTGCTTTTAAAATAAATGTTAAATATATTTAATTGGGTGTTATTATATTCTTCAGAGCTGAGAAAGTCAAAATTAGTGAAGCACTCACAATGTCACTTTTAACCATATTAATTCTTCACTTCTTTTGACTCCTTTGGCTCTGAATCAAAATGACATCTTAATGTAAACTTACTTTGGAACCTAAACTTAGGTATCCTTCAAACATTATACTCCTCTGAATTTTGTAATGGCATTGTAAGATATAGAAATCTGCACAAGAGTGCAAATGTTGGGGGAAATACCAAAAAATGTGTATATAGTATACATAATGCTAAATATTAATATGTTCAATGATTAATTAATGTTATACATGGCCGCCTTGTGCCCTGTACTGGGAGAAATTTGGGTTTAAAACAAAGCAACCAAAAATAAACAAATAAAATAAAATGATATTGAAGTTTACAATTGTATACCAAAAATGTTGATTTGAAGCTCATTGGGAGCATTGTTAGTTAAAGCAATGGTATTCCCCATAATAACCTGTGGATGTGAGAGCTCAACCCTAAGGAAGGTTGAGTGAAGGAAGACAGACACCTTTGAACTGTGGTGTTGGAGGAAAATTATGAGAGTGCCTTGGATCGCAAGAAGATCAAACCAGTCCATACTCCAGGAAATGATGCCCGACTGTTCACTGGAGGAAGGATATTAGATGCAAATATGAAGTCCTTTGACCACATAATGAGAAAACAGGAAAGCTTGGAGAAGATAATGATGTTGGGAGAAATGGAAGGAAAAAGGAAGAGGGGCCAACCAAGGTCAAGATGGAAGGATGTTATCCTTGAAGTGACTGGCTTGACCTTGAAGGAGCTGGGGACAGCGACAGCCGACAGGGAGCTCTAGTATGGTCTGGTCCATGAAGTCACGAAGAGTCGGAAGAGACTGAATGAATAAAAAACAATAAAAAGGAGAAATACATATGAATATTAACATTAATTTCCATTCTGTCTTTTTAAAAAACTTCTAGCAAATTCTCACACTTTAGGAAGTCCAAATTTGAAATTGGAAAACCGAGAAATTGAGAGATTTGCCCATCTATGGAAGATACTTTTGTGGTTTCCTGCATGGCAGGGAATTGGACTAGATGGCCCAAGTGGTCTCTTCCAACTCTTATTGTATGATACTATGCAATAAGACAGTAGCTAACATTCTGTTGGTAATTTTATGCGTCCACAAATTCCCTTATGTATGTAGTTATACTGTTTTGTTCATGACAGATTGTCTGTATTCAGTTAACAGCTGTGTAAGCAGAGTTCCACAAGGGTACTGTTGTATATGCAGTTGCACATTTTGGGGTGATGTGTCACTTGATTCACTGGTATTTCAGAAACTGCAATCACATTTCCAGATATGTCAAGAGTTGCATTGTGCTGCTGCTGAGCAGAAGAGTGGCATAACAGAATAACCACTTTACTACAGCTATACACTGGATATTTTGAGACTGGAGTCAGGAATAACATGGAAGGAATAGGGATAGGTTCCAAGATATAAAAAAGAGCAGTTAAACACAGCTTTTATTCAAAACAAACAATATTCACACATAAAATTAAACAACCACATTAGTTAAACCTTCCATGTGTAAGCAAAATCATTTTTAATGTAACAATATCTCCCCCCCCCCCCTTCACAAGCTTTCACTTTTCTGACAATTTCCATTTTGGTGACCTTTTTTGTTTTTTTTTTTAACTTGGTTGGAGTAGATGATGAAGAAGGCTTATCTGCTTCCTCTTTTCTTTGTTTTGGTATTCACAAATACTCAGGGATTCTGGAGGAAGCTACTATTTATGTTGCCTTTTGCCTTCCTGCATCTACAGGAAGACCCCATTCTTTCTCCCTGTATTTTTCCAGTCTTCCTTCATCATCCTGTTGATGATTCTAAAATAATTTCTAAATAGATCAAGGATGAGGAGTTAAAGAAGGATCTAGGTGGGTTTAAAAATGCTTTGTAAAAAAGGAACTTTTTGTCAGCAGCTTTGTTTACTGAGGTTTTCCTTTATAGGTTTATACTGTGTAAGCACATTGTAGGATTTTAAATATTCCACTAAGACCCCCATAACCATTTCATTTACTCACATCTGAAAGAAATTGTCTTTTTGAGAATTTGCTAAGTCCTCCAGGTAATTCTATGGTATACTTCCCCTGGACATCATCACACAGTTCTTCTGTTGGCAAATTCTAGATCCTCTAACTCTACAGGGATTTTACTGTATTTTGAAAGTGTTACCTAAGGGTTCCCCCCCCCCCCAAACTCCATATCCAGACCTTTGCTCTTCAGCGTAGACTTATTCCATATGGCATATGTTAATAATGCTATGTACAACACCACCAGTGAAAAGATGAAATAAAAAATAAAACTACAATTCTATTATTTACTATTGTACTTTAGTTAAAAAATATGAGATTTTTTTTAAAGAAAGAAAACTCAGTACTTGTGTACATGCTCCATTCCAAGTATTTTCAGTGTAAGCAGGAAGCAACGCAGAAAGATATTGCATTGTAAAATACTCCTTCCCCAAGGTTGATAAGTAGAGTTTTGCCAGCAACTCATACTAGAAAATCAGGGTTTTCCATGGTGTTTATGACCATAAAAACTGCAGCAAAGTTTTAAAATGTTGGAAGTGCATCATGGAAAACAATGGAATGTTGTGGTTTGGCAGTATTGGCATTTGATCTCTCCCTTATGACAGCATTAGGCAATTCTAATGGAAATGGTTGTAAAGAATAAGAAAAGTTGTTTTGCTAAATATTTTTACTTTTTGCAGTGGCTACTGCTTATAAAAGTAGGTACTTCTGTAAAAAAAACAATAATCACAATATTGGTAAGATGATATGCATAAACTATTCTGTGTTTCTAATGTGATCTATATTATGTTGCACGTGTTTCTGCTTATGATGGCTAGAAGAAAGGATCCCAGAGGTTTGGTGGAATCTGTATCCAGTAGGGCTGGGTAACAACGGAAAAATTTGTTTCTAAACTCGTTTCATTTTTAGGGGGTCCATTGCGTTTCGTTTTTTAAAAGAATTCCGAATTTTTCTTTAATTTTTTTTGTTATTTAAGAAATTTTGTAAATTTCGAATTGATTCGTTAATGGCAGACGCAATTGCGCAATACGCTAAAAAAACCTCCAAATGTGACAGGGGGAACTTCTGAAGCTTCCCTCTCCCTCTGTTGTTGACTGTTGGTGTGATAATTTATTTTTTTATCACTGATAAAACAAACAACAACTATAAAACTTGCACCAGACATACGGAAATATAACGAAACGATTTCGAAACGATTTCGAAATGATTTCGAAACGATTTCGAACCAATTACGAAACAATTACGAAATAAATTGAAAAATTTGTTTCGTTTTTTAGTTGCTCCTGCATGGCTCAATATCGGATTGTAAGCTAATTTAAATATGAATCAATAACGAATTACGAAATTAACAAACGAAACCACCCAGCCCTAGTATCCAGTACTGGGGAGTAGCTTCCAGGTCAGTGTGGCAGTTCATCCACTCCAGGCTTCATTATGAAATTTAAGGTATCTAACAAAAGTACTGAACCCTTTCACCTAAATAGGTTGGCTACTTGTATAGCTCCTTTGATGTTCAGATGCACCATCACTACCTGTTGCCCATTTAACTCAAGCAGGTTTCTTCTAAGTAAGCATGTACAGAAGTGTACTGATAATGACTGCAGAAACATGACATAAACTTTCCCAGCTCGCCTATTCTCAAAGACATTGCATCATTTTCCTCCCCCTGAAGAATGAGCTACCACTGACTGTCTCATGAGGGCACTGTTGCTACATGCAAAAATAAAATAGTCTAGTGTTTATATTATCCTTTACATTTTTATTGGTATATTTTGAAGAAGAGACAGAACTTACTGTATTTTGGTAGGAATGAACTGCCCCGGTTATTGTAGGGCATTGAATGTACATGCCACAAGAATCATAGAGCTTTACATAACTTTGTCTTGGCTTCATTTTGGGACAGAGATGGCGGTTTCCTCCATGAGTGTGTATCTGTATGAATGCATGTTTGTTAAACCCAAGAACCTACTTTAACTTCTGAGACACAATATGCTATTGGATTTTGATCAGAAAATAACTTGCAAATTATAAACATTTTTTTCCTATAATGCACACTTAAATGAAGCTGCTTACACATATATGTATAAAATATTCTTCTGCTTTTTTGTCAGCATCTGCTATTGGAATTAAAAACTCAACCGGAGACCTATCTCTTCCAGCAGGCCGACCCATTCAATTTTCAACTGTGAATTTTCATCTGCATTTTGTGGTGTTGTCATCAGTCTTTGTTGTGTGTATTTTGGTATATACATTTTAATAGGGTGGGTTTTATCTGTCTGTTTTAACCATATTCTATCCTGCCTGGAGTCATGAGGAGAGGCAGGTAACAAATAACAAATTATGAATGTTATGATTATGATATTATCATTATTACTTTTATGTTTTTATGTTGTCCCCTACTTTCAAAAGTACTGCAGTATTTTCCATAGGCATAAATAAGTATACCTATACATTTCAAAGACAGGAAATCCTTTTTCTTCCAACCACATATTCTGTTTAGGAACTGGGAAAAGGTTATCCCAGTGAATTTCAAAGGGCTTCTCACATCCCAGACTCTAGTTTTCTGCCCAGTTTCCTTCCTGCAGCTACATGTTAGGACAAAATTGTAGTTACCAGGAGTCTGTTTGATACCCGACATGCAACAACTTAATAGACCCATGAGCATTAATGTTTTGATACACTGTAATTGTCTAACCCTCCTTCTACATTCTGGTCAGTTTGAAGCTGCTGGTATTAGCAGAGGAAAGGTAAACAAACAGAGAGGGAACGAGAAAGCAATCAGGTACAATGTTTTTATAAGTTACTACAGCAACAGCTTGGCTTCAGGGACAGCCTAACAGCTGTTTTCATCCTCCAAGGGAGAAGCTCATTTAGAAAAGAGCCAGAAAGTTGGTTTTAATGATTCACCCCTCCTGATGTTGCAAGTTTAGGCAGAGAAAGTGATTCGCTGTTGCTCTGGGGAACCAGTGCTGGGATCTAGCCTGGATGGTGTTGAATTTCCTGGGTGGGAGGGGAGAAAGAGGATTCCAGCTCAGGGAGTTCTGCCTAAAATCCATGCTACTTTCATCAGCTCCCTTCCTCCCACCTTCTCCCTCCCATCCTCTGCTTCTATTACACATGTGCTCCCAGAATCACCCCACAAAACATACATCCTGAGAACAGGTAAGGATTTGCTTTCTTTGTTTTACAGAAGTGAAATTGTGCATCGTGAAGTTCTGTCTTGAAAAAGTCTGAGAGCAACACAAGGAGGAGGAGTTGAGAGGCCCACAGGCTATGTGGTGTTCAAGCCAAGTCTTGCCTTCGCTTGCTTTTGCATATTTCCATCGCTCAGTTAAGCATTAGCAGATGTTGCATCTGGTAAAGTACAGCTATCAAAGAAACATTTGAGCTCCAAAGGCAGGAAGTAACCAGTGAACCGAGCAGCTCTCCCTTTCTCAGTCCAATTTAACCATTTCAGCTAAGAACATTTTATTTCAGATTTGTTGGAAACTTCTTTGAGTTCAGACAGAGTTGAAGCAACTGTGAGAGGGGTGGTATTTATTTACTAGGAAAGGAAGTAGGACAGCTGAGTAAGATACACTCTGCTTAGAAAGCAGCACCAAAAAAGCAAACGCTGATGGTATTGGATCATGAGTAATTTGAAAATTCACTATAATGATTTTTTTTTGCCATATTCTTTTTCTGCAGAAGCTGAAAAACTCCAAGAGTACCTCAGGGCCCTCCAGACAAGCCCTATATCCCAGGATCTGATCTCGGTTTTTCTGTTTTTCCCAGATTATCTGGCAGTGCAGATTCATATAATCCATTTTAAAGCAGAAAACCTGGGATATAGGGCCTGTCTGGAAAGGCCCTAAAAAGTCACTTGAGCCTAAAGGACCTCTACAACATCCCTCTCTTCTTTCTCAAGCACTATTACTAAAGGAACTAAAGACGTAGATGTTTTGTTGTGCATTCGACTGACAACTCCTTTGACAGATGTTCCCTAACCATGACCTGAATTCAAGTTCCTATATTTGATTATTACACTTTTAAGTTAAGCTTAAATGATCCTGTTTAATTGCTTTTTGCCTATGCTACTATATGCTCTATCCACCTTATTGACCAGCCTATCCTTTAACTCGTTCGCTCATTGCCCCCCCCCCCCACACACACACACCCAAATGAGACTAGAGGTATCTCTGTTGTTGCTTATGATACTTGTCTATTATTGTTTATGATGATGCTGTTTTAATGCTATTTTAATATGTTATTGTTCTATTTTTAATTATATGTTGCCTTGGGCTTGGCACCATGTAAGCCGTCCCGAGTCCCCTCAGGGAGATGGAGGCACGGTAGAAAAATAAAGTTCTTCGTCTTCTATTACAGTATGATTCCACATAACCATCACATGGGGAAACCTTTTCTCCACCCTCTCCATATTACTTTTTTTAATTGGGGAAAACTTCAATATCCCAAAGCCAAGAGATCCCTTGCCCTCCTCAAAGCCCCTTACATTAATAGAGGTAGGACACATGCGTTTTCAGTGTTAGCAACAGTTCTGGCATACACCAGGGGCTCACAACATGATTTCTCATCAATGTTTTGAACTTCCTCCTTTCAGCACAATTCAGTTCCATTCAAAGGACAAAAGGTAACAGGTGAGAGCCAGAAGTAAGCAAATGTCATCTGATGGGCTCTGTGCCACTTTGTCCTTGAAATGGACCTAAAGTGTCCTATAACAAGGAAAACCCTCCACCTGATAAGGTCCTTAGTCTGACCCTAGCAGTAGAGGTGGGACAAAGTGCTAAGACATGCAAGGCACGCACTACACTATCAAGACTCTTTCCAGTATCCCAACCCACCCTCCATATGCAGAAATATCCCCAATTATTTTGCTGGTGTGGGTATTCTTTCTGTAGAAATATGCCACCTAGTAATTAAGTTTCCAGCACACTTGGTCTGATGAAGAAATTGAGTCTAGGCTATTAAATATGCAGACCATATATATTTATTTCTTTTGTAGGATTGAGTAGCCTGTCCTGCACCTTCTGAGGGTGAATGAACACTGTAAAATTAAAATACAGTTTGATACCACTTTAACTGCCATGGCTCAATGCTATGGACTATTGGGATTTGTAGTTTCATGAGGCCTGTCTGGCTGCACTCTTTGGCAGCACTCTTTGGTAAAGAAGGCTCCTAGGATTCCATAGCATTGAGACATGACAGTTAAAAATGGTCTCAAGCTGGATTAATTCTTCAGCATAAATCAGTGTTTCTCAAACTCTACTCCTCCAGCTGTTTTGGACTTCAGCTTCCACAGATCTGAGCAGCTGGTAAACTGTCTGGGACTTCTGGGAGCTGAAGTCTAAAACACTTGGAAGAGCAAAATTTGAGAAACACTGGCGTAAATTCACCCTATGCTCAAGGATAGTGGATGATTCAGGCACAATCACCAACTTTGAAGTAGGATTGCTAGTCTCATGCACTTCTGTAGGTAGAATTGAGGAGAAGGGATCATTTCTACCAATACTCAGGCAGCAAAATGGGTTGGCTCTACTTCAAGCATTACCTTTGCAGAGACATTGCTCATCATAAAGGCAAATACTTTGTCAGTTAATAAATAATGTAAAAGGCATTCTGGGAAAAGTAGGAGTAATTGAAGTTTGCAGAGTGTACCAATTGGAGTTGCAGAGCTAGTTAGGAGACACAACATTCAGTTGAATTAATTCTAGTGACAGCAGTGATTTTCTTGATTGGAAATAACCTGGCACATAACTAACCATCTCTCTATAGTGAATAGTACCATGCTTTGTTTTTTAATTATTGAAAAAACAGAAAATTATCATTATGTGCCCCCCACTGCTATTTCCTGAGCATAATCATTTCAAACAGAAATCTTTAAGCTTTTATGTTTGCTTGTTTCTGTTTCCAGGTTCTAGCAGTGATATAAAATAAAATTATTTGTCCTAATTAATGTACATTGAGCCCCCATTAAGCCTCTGTTCCTATGTTACCTGAGTTGCTTTAGTACTTATTAACAAAGTATTTTTCCAGGAAGAGGAAAGTGAGATAGATGCATGAATACCAATGTTTTCAGGGGCATAAATCAAGTGGTTTTAGCACCACTAATTGAGCCTAAATGTAGAGTTATACCTCAATTAGTAAAGCAGATGGGTTCCTGGGCATTATATCGCTAATAGAAAATTTGGTATCAGAAACAGAATTAACATGGAAAGGATAGAAATGAGTTTCTACACTACAAGAAAGGACAGCAATTCAATATGCTTCTGCACAGTGTTTTTTTTTAATTCAAAACAAACAACATCCACATGTGAAACATCCAGGTTGGTAAGCATCCTTCTCAAAATGCTTCCAGGATGAATTTTTATTTCATCCGTTCCAACTTTTCTAATGATTTCCATTATAGATCTGTACTTCTTTATGTACTAGAAGTGTGGGGTAAGCAAGCACACTTGGGGTACATCTACACTATAGAAGTAATGTAGTTTGACACCACTTTAACTGCCATTGTTCATTGCAATGGGATCATGGGAATTGTAATTTTACAAGGTCATTAGTGTTGGTGCTTCCCCAAACTACAACCTCCAGGGTTTCATAGTATTGAGCCGTGGCAGTTAAAATGGTGTCAAACTACATTAATTCTATAGTGTAGATGCACTCTTGACTACAAAAGGATAATCTAGAGTAGACTCCTATTAATTTCCAGATCATGTTTTATTGCATTGTTTACTGCAGATACATTGGAGCAACCCAACACTTAAAGTATGCATTTATCCTGCCCACCTTCCTCATCCTCCTAATACTGTTAAAAATGCTGATACTGCTTTAAAAATCTTTCTAGCCAGGCAGAAGACAAGAAAGAAAAGTAGGGGGTGCATGGGCATTAAAAGACATTATTAAAAGGAGCTTCTTTGGCTGAGGATTTGTTAAGTGAAGAATGCCTGCATTGCAACAATAACCTAATGCTAGAATTGAAACTGTGTAACCTACATATTTATACTGGGATGGACACAATAGCCTACACAATACTTAATGAGAGAATTAATTGATATTAAACAGGCACAATTTTAAAATTGAGAAAAGCAAAGGAGCCCTTTTCTTTTCTTCCGCATCTTGCTCCTTACTGCATGGCAATAGAGAAGCTGCTTAACATATGTCAGCCATGGGCCCATGCTCAGTAGGTAGAGTTAAACACTAGAAGGATCAAGAAATAGCTGGATGGCTAGGATACACACATAAAATAGAAATGGGTGCAAAAAATGTTTTTGTTTTTTTTCAGAACTATGTGCCCTAAAGTGAAATCTTTCCAGACTCATAACCTTATCATAAAGGTCCATGGATTTGCCCCACATCGGGATGAATCCATGGGCTTCCGGCGGGGGGGGGGGAGCGGGATGTGTGCAGAAGCCGCTGCTCCATGCCCCGCATCGCCTGACCTACCTTGCCTCTCATCCCATGTGGGAAAGCGTTGCCACTCATCTTCTCTCCACTGAAGGGAAGGCAACACGGGAAGGCTCCCATGTTGCCACTGTGGTGGTGTGAGCTGTTTTCTCTCCCTTTTCGGCATGGAGAAAGAAGTGCATGTACATTGTGCCAAAAAGGGAGGGGAAGCAGCATACAACAGGCAAATCTGCCTGTCTGGTGAGGTGCTATATCCAATCAGTGCATGGATTGTTGCTGCGTACCTTCATTCATTTCACTTTTGGTGACGCTAAGGCAAACCTGTTACAGGGTTTTCTTGTAGATTTGTTCAAATGAGGTTTTCTGTGGTCTTCCTCTTAAATCAGCCAGGGAGGGTTTGGTTGACTGGTTTGGGTTGATCATCAATGCATCATTGGAGCAGGGTTTTTTTTCCATCTCTCTTGAAACAAGCTGTGGTTCGTCCACTCCTTAAAAAGGTTTCCCTTGACTCCACGGTGCTGAACAATTTCAGACCGATCTCCAACCTTCCTTTCTTGGGTAAGGTGCTGGAGCAGGTGGTTGCCTCTCAGCTCCAGGGCTTTTTAGATGACATCAACTACCTAGATCAGTCACAGTCTGGTTTCAGGCCTGGTCACGGCACCGAGACAGCCTTGGTCGCCTTGGTGGATGACCTCCGTAGAGAGCTGGACAGGGGGAGTGTGACTCTGTTGGTTCTCTTGGACATCTCAGCGGCTTTCGAT